TATTTAAAGGAAAGTCTGAGATACAACATTGTATTGCAACCACATTTTTTTTAATCAACATGAGACATGTCTGTTGAAACTTTATGTAAAGAGAAAAGTTTCTTTCCCGTTTTATTTCTGTATGCATATTCAAAGACGGTAATATTTCTTTATTTTCTCCGGCCATAGCAACTGTGCAGCGATATAAAAGGGAACAGAAAGATGTCTCGCCCGTAATTTAGTGGAGACGCTCAACAAGTAAGTTGGGAGAAATGTACCTAAATCCCAATTCTGCACGCCGCGTCCCATCTGTTGGGTGTGAACCAAACTCGCCTGCAGTGTTAATTTGCAGGGTAATCAATCACTGAGGACACGACCGTCTAATGGCGGAGGATTCTTGTACTTTATTATGGTGCTGTGGCTCCAAAGCAGAGGAAATGGAATGTTTTTGCGACCAGATGCTGAAAACTTAGAGTGAAATGAACGTTAACGGAAGTGTGATAATTGTCTGTGACCCCTATCCACCACACACGAATCCCTGAACACGTAATCCCCAGATGCATGTGTAATGTCTTGTTATCTTCATTAATAAAACTGGTAACATGCATTTCTGTTGTAGCCTTGTTGATAGAACTCTGAAGTATTGTGTTTCAGCAGAAGGAGCGAAGTCAGGCTTATTATATTTCGTGGTTTAATTAAAAATGTGTGAAATCATCCCAATCTTTGTAATATATTACACGAGGAGACTGTCTAATTCGTAGATATGGTTTGGTAAAACACTTTGACTGAAAACGTAAACAAATTGAGCAGAACTATAAATTCGCTGCTTTATTTGAAACCGAAATTCAAGACAAGCAAGTGACGTGAATAACATCTAGAGAAATACAAATATTTAACAATAAAATAGAAGTATTTTGGATTTTCGATAACCGAAAACAGAATATTCGTATTATCGATGATGTTAACAAAATAATCTGGGTGCAGTGTATATATAATTTTGTTTTAATTGGAAATGGGCACTTCAGTCCATACAAACTGTAAAACGAGTAGTCAATTATTCTTAATATCCGGTTTTAGTTAGTGTAATATATAAATGTTTTTAATGCAAAGAAATCACAATTAAGTGTTTCTTTAGCAAAAGACTATCAATCCGAAATAACAAATGAGACATTTCTACTAAATAACTTATTTTTTAACTTTTCAATGCAGTTATTCATAGTCAAAATTTTAAATGGAATTTCGATGGAATTTTGTTACAGGATAATCGTTTTCGAGTTCTATAAAGTTCTAATTCTGTTAAACGTAATGGAAATGAGATCTGTATCCTCAGAAACTGGATATCTACAGCTACAGTTTAAAGTTTGAGGTTTCAAAGGCGGCGCGGATTACATTTGTGTTCTGTGTTATGTCGCCTTTAAATCTTTGTGGTGACAAGCAACATTTCTGAGCGACATGCAGGTAGAAGTTCTCTGATGATGGAGACTGTATGTTCCTCTGAAACGTTGATAATAACCTGTAAGACCAAACGGCGTCATAATCTAGAAGGCCACGATGCGAAATGAATATTTATTTACAGTTTATTTAACGACGCCTTTTCAGTAGCTCGGATTATGTAGCGTCGAATGAATATGAATTGGAAAGGTGTGAAAAGAATCGACCGTGGCCTAATTTAAGGCACTATCCTGGCATTTGCCCGAGGAACTCAGAGATATCTCAGTAAGGATAGCTGGTCTCCGGGCAGAGATTTAAACCCGGGCCTTCCCGAAGCAGGAGGACTAACAATTCGATCATGACGTTCGGTGATCCACAATAAAGTCATTGTTATAACCTTCTTCAGGACGTATAAAGTTCTCACGGTTAGAGGAAGTGTTTTTACTGTGTAATCACACGGATATGCCTGTGTTTACGAAACAGACGTAAAGAAACTTATTGCTTGTGTAGATTTTTGTTCCTAAAGAGAGAGAAAACTTGTGTGTACTAAAATAATGTTTTTTATTTTTATTAGTACATTTTAAATACGCCGAAATAAGAGTACAAACTCTGATATCGTGAATTTTGAACACCTGTGTCCCAGATAATTGTTAACCGCTTCAATCTTTGCTTCTTAATAATTATCTACTTCTATTCTCCTACTGTTGCATGGAGGAAAGTAAAATGTGCGAAGGGTTCAAACAGTACAGGAATTAGTTGTATTTGGATATTAAAAAAGTAACGAAAAATGTTTGAAAGAAAAATAAAAATTTCCTAATTCACACATTTCAGACCTAAATAAATTATGCATTAGTTACTCATTTTATTCCATTAACTCTTTCGCTGTTCGGTTTCAATGGACTGTAAAATTTGAAAGAATGAATGTAATTAAATTAATACAATTTTAGCCATTATTATGTTGGGCAGTTTTTATGAATGTTTGATGATTGTCGTTAAAATAACATATATTATTATGTTAATAGTTTACATGACAGTGAAATTGTTTAATGTGGGCTTGGTTCGTGGCACCGTGTAGTCTTTAATGTCGGAGCAAACGCTTCGGATGACCTCATCATCTCCAACTTCAGGACAATGCAGTTCATATAATAATATTTATATCTCTTCATGTTTTGATTTTACCTTATATTTGTCGAAGGTTTGGAGACGATCTCGGCACACACGTATGCCAAAATAATGCACATACAAAATCCAATTACACGCATACTAATATACACGTAAAAAGAGTGTTTTATAAACCTACATGCACCCACACACAAGTATCTTTCAAATAACATTCTTGCATGTACCTTAACACATATTTACACACTTACATACGTTCGTACATGAACACATACACACAGTAATGTTTTTAAATCACATAGTATCACCTCGCTGTTTCAAAGGGTATTTAGGAAATACCTGGTACCTGGAAAAATTCCTCTGTGAATACTTTGTAATACTCACCGCAGACCAAATCGTGATCGATGTCACATCCAGGTGCCATAGAAATTAATAATGACCCTCTAATAATGTTTCTATATTTCAAAATTGATACTGAATATTGCAACCAAATAAAATACTGTTGTAAGCATTTAGTGGACAATTTTAATGTGGCAATGAAATGTTTGTTTTAAACACGGAAGTTATGCAGTACATAGCAGCGAAAGAGTTGATAGATTCTTCTGAATAATTCAACGTCAATTTCCGAGTTCTGGCAATTTGTATGTGGTTAGATATGGAGGAAAATTATTTTTCATTAAGCTATAACATTTTGCTAAAGAAATATATGTGCTCTGTGTACACCGTAATCATGTGCCATTTCTTGTTTTCGTACATAAATTTGGATTTGTTCTTTCTTTGTATTTCGTCCCTGGGATTGTTATTTAATGATTGTGGCGTCTTATATTTTAAGGAATTTTCAAAAGTAAATAAAAATACAATTTGATTCAGTGTTAAGATATAAAAGAAAACTTGAATCGTGTTATTTCCCCAAATAGACTGAATTACCCGCATTTATAAGGTCTGACAACCTGTGATTAATGAATAGTATTAAGATAACTCTTCAATTTATGTAATGTATAATTTGAAATTGACTTAGCTACTCAGTGCCTCTTTTAACAATATTCAAACTAACGCATTATTTTTTCAGAGTTGTTTGCTTAAGATATATTATTTGTCATGTTCGGTGTGATAATTCTCTTCGTGTCTAATTTTGAAGTGAACGTGAACGATACTGCCCTCATCTATGTTGAGGATGAGTGTCGAGTGCGTAGAGCTCAAATGAAACGTGTAGCAAAACTGAATAGGAACAATCCTGAATTGAACAGACAGTGTGAAATTTCAGAAACATACTTAGCTACAGCAAACATAATTGTTTAAAGTGTAAATTGTACAGAATCGACATTGGTACAGTGGTACAAATGTAAATAAGTATTTGAAGTTTAATATCAAGGCCTCATATTACAAGAGTAAAAACGACTGAATTTGTGGGGGAAAAGTTGTCTGTTAACGCTGTTTTGGTGTTACGTGATAGTTAAATTCTATTTTAGGTTTTTCTTTAAAGTTTATATTTATAAGTACTTAATATCTGTGCATTATTGGGGAATTATTGACATCGTGTGTTTTGTAAATGTTAGGTGATATATAGACGATGTTCTTTTCAACTGCAGGAATTTGAATAATATTTAGTTATTGGTACAGAGAGC